CCACCTAGTATTCGCCAGCCATGTGTGCTGGATAGGGAATTCTGGGAGTTGAAGTCCACACATCTTAAAGTTGCTAAGGTTGAGAAACCCTGCTCTAGAATGCTTCATTAACCAAGATGTAAAAATAAGGAAAGAGGAAGGGGTAGGTCTGTGGTGCAAATTCAGACTCAAAATGGAGACCGTACCTGAAGGCAATTACATGTCCCATCATCTGGGCCAGGTTTCGCTTCTCCTGCAGAACAAAGAAAATGGTTGCTCCTTGCCCCCCTCCCAATTTGTCTCCACTCTTCCTTTTTTGTTCATGAGGCCATTTTTAGCATATTGGGGCTTTGGCTCCTCCAGAGCAGAGGCTGCCCACAATTCCTGCTCGCAGCTTTCTGACTTCTAGCTAGTTATCAGTTCACGAAAAGCCTCGCATCTTGAAGGAAGCTTTGGGGGGGGGGCGGTTTTTAATCATGGCTTTCTCTTTGGATAAACAGGTAGCTTCCAATTAAAAAGCAAAACATCTTTACTGCCAGTCTTAAGGGAGAAGGGAGCTTGGCAGTTCTGTTGTCCCTTTTTATGCCCATCAACCGGTACAGGGTGCGTTGCCTAAAGCTGCCTTAACTCTACTGCTAGAAGTCAAGTGAGCTGCACGTGAAACATTCTGCATTGCTGATTTATTCATAAAAGTGGTTACAGAACAGTACATTACAATTATCGTGTAGGGCCTGGATGATTAAACACAATAAAAGCCAACAAGGCGCATTGGAAACAATTAAAGCAGAAAGTTTGAATGAAGAGGCTAGCATATTTAAGTGAAATAAGAATTTGAAAATGGGAAGCCTAAATTCAGGATTGGTGACTGGCAGGAGTGGTACTTTCTGGTTTCCCTTTGGCTAGATGGACGTAGGTAGTCATCACAAATCTAACAGGCCGATCTACTAGGTCCAGCCTCCCTGCAGAGGGGGGTGACGCCAGAGAACTGGAGGCTCACCAGGGAGTGATCTGACCATGATGGGAGAAACCAGTATCTCCCCCAAATCCAGGACACTCTGCTGCTGCTCCGACAAAAAAAAACAGGTCGTGCGTATGACCACTGTTACGTGTGGGGCCCTGGATGACCTGGGACAGGCCCATGGCTGTCATGGTGGCCATGAACTCCCAAGCTACCTCAGACCCTGCCCTCAGAGAAGGCAAGTTGAAATCTCCCAAGATCATAAGCCTGGGAAACCACCACCAGCCCGGCCACGGAGTCAAGAAGCTCAGGCAGGGAGGCTGGTACAGCAGCAACAGTCCCAACTGATCCCTAGAGCCCAACTTAATAAGTAGCGTCTTGCACCCAACAATCTGGGGCAATGCCTCTGGATGCCTCCCAAGTATCTTGGATGACCACTGCCACCCCACTGCCCCCTACCCTGTGGCGGTGCCTGTGGAACCCATCTCAGAAAGGGGACACCCCACCCTCCAGTCCCAGGCAGGTTTTGGTAAAATCTGCCAGGTCAGCCAGCAATCAAGTCATGAATGAGGGTGGTCTTATATAGACCAACCTGGTGCTTAGCAGCAGCAGACAATCCAGGGCCTTGAAGGTCTACCATCCAGGGCCCAGGAATTTGCTCCAGGGGCTGGAACGTGCCACAGGAAAATATACCTGTGGCATGGTCCCTGAGAGTGGCCTGCCCGCCGCTTCCCATCATGTCTCCCCATACCCATCACCACTGGGATGTTATAGCCTGCCTCCCCCCCGCAGAACCTTCCCCCCTCCCTTGTCCATAACAGCCCATGCCCAAGCCTGTTACCCCCCCCCATACGTATACATATCCATCCACAACCTCCTCCAGGTCCATCGAATTCAGGATGCTTCTGCGTAGCACTCAGCACCTCTAATAAATGGCCCTACTCAACCCTATGCTCTCACCCCCCGCACCATTCCCCTCTCCCTAGACCGGCAGGGAGCCCACACATCCAACCACCAGACAGCCCTGAGAGTGAATCACTCCCCTCCCCGGCTCTCACCTGTGGAAAGGCAAACAAGCCCCTATTCAGGGGGAGAAACACCCTCTCCCACCACAAATCCAAGTCCGTGAGTTTGCAGAGCCCCTCTGTTCTCCAGCCGAGGAAGAAGGCAAAACGGTTGCCTGGGCAAACCGGGGAGGGGAGCCGCAGCCTCAAGGACCAAGCCGAAAGCAACACCTTGGCCCGTCCTCATGTCTGCTGCAGCCCGCTCCCTACCCCCCAAATGCCCCCTGATGTCAGCTCTCAAATTGCCTCCGTCGCCACTGCTCTGGAGCTCACCGCTTCCATACTAGCTAGCTAAAGGCCTCCTCTGTTGCTGTTATGCCCCTCTCCACTGCCGTGTGGCCGAACACCACTCAAGGTGCAACAGCTGATCACGGCTCTGCAGCTGTTCCATGCGCCCAGCATGCCCAGCAATCCAGTCATCCGAGTGCCAACGCTGGTCCTGGGGAGATGACGGTCCAGCCAACAATCTAGCTAGCAATCCACACAAGAAGGTAAGTTCCAGGCACCACACGCAGTTCTGTCCCAAGCTGCTACACAGCCTAATGATGGCTGTGAATCCCATGGGCTCGGCAAGAAGCAGCGTCAACCAGGTTCAGTAGAGGGAAAATCCAAATCCACAGGTGCTCCAACGCTTAGTCCAAATCTCCAACCATCAACCTGCTGCAACAGACTAAAAACCAACCACTATGGGCACCCACTCCACAAACATACCTTGGTGCCATCCTGTTGCTCACCTTGAGGCTCTGCTCGCTGTCACTCATGCCCTCATGACTTCCCGGCTGGACCACTGCAATGCGCTCTACGTGGGGCTGCCCTTGAAAAGCATTCGGAGCTTCAGCTGGTATAGAATGCAGCTGCACAAGCAGTAAATGGTATCGGCTGTTCGGCACGTGTAACGCCGTTGCTTCGTGAGCTGCACTGGTTGCCGGTGTGTTTCCAGGCGCAATTAAAGGTGCTGGTTGCCACCTTTAAAGCCCTTCGCGGCTTGGGACTGGGTTACCTGAGGAACCGTCTTCTCCAGTTGTTTCTACTTGTCCGATCTAGTCCGGCAGGATGGGCATGCTCCGGGTCCTGTCAGCTGGCAGGGACCAGGAGGCATGCCTTTTCTGCTGTAGCTCCTGCCCTCTGGAACATTCTCCCTGCAGAGATGATGGACCTGACCCTGTTGGCCTTTCGTAAGGCCTTGAAGACCTGGTTATGTGCCCGGGCCTGGGGCTCTGAGTGCGTGAAGGGCCCCATTTCCTGATTATGTTAACATCTGTGGATTATAATTCTTCTTGGCTGCTGTATATATTTAGTTTCAGTATTGTGATTGTAATCCGGTTGTTAATTAATTTTATGATTGTTTGCCACCCAGAGTCACTTGTTTGAGGTGGGCAGCCATAGAAATTGAATAAAATAACTAACGAATGAACCAACCTGTGGGCCAAAATCACGCAGGAAGAGCCCTGAGGCTGGACCAGGCCAAAGGACCCCTGGTCCCATTGTCTGCTGCCAGTAAGATGCATTGGGAAGGCCCCAAGCAACGACAGGGGAGCAGATGCCCTCTTTTACTCTTACTCCCCAGCAGCTGCCTACTGCCATCAAGTCCTTTTTGTCGCCTAGCAACCACAGAGGTCTCTGACCTGGTCTTTCAGGTCTTCCCTGAAAGGTGCCCCCATCGCCACTGTAACTGGGTCCCTCCCCGGCTGCTGGTCGTCCTCTCCTTCTTTCCTTCCACCTGTCCAGGCACCAGAGCCTTCTCCAGAGAGCTGGGTCTTCGCATCGCGTACTCAAGATACGACCACGAGGCTGGCCGTCTGCGCTCCGAGGTCGATTTGTTCGACAGTCCGTCTGCTTGTTTCTTGGCCGCCCAGGCCTCCTCAGGAGCCTCCTGCAGCGCCGAAGTCCAAAGGCGTCGACGCTCCTCCCCTCCGGCTTCTTCCAGGCCCGACTTGCGCCCCGCGGGGGGTCGCCTGCGGTTCCGGTCCCCGCCGGCGCAGACCCACC